GCCTGAGGCTGCTGGAGGAGAGGGGGGTCTGCGTGGTGCCGGGCAGTGGCTTCGGGCAGCGGGAAGGCACCTACCACCTCCGGTGAGGCCCCGCTGCGCAGCCCTGCCCCACCGCCCGGTACCCTTTGCTCTTCTCTTACCTTCCTCCGCTTTTAGGATGACCATCCTGCCCGCCGCGGAGAAACTGCGTCCCCTTTTGGAAAAGCTGAGCCAGTTCCACGCCAAGTTCTGCGTGGTGCCGGGCAGTGGCTTCGGGCAGCGGGAAGGCACCTACCACCTCCGGTGAGGCCCCGCTGCGCAGCCCTGCCCCACCGCCCGGTACCCTTTGCTCTTCTCTTACCTTCCTCCGCTTTTAGGATGACCATCCTGCCCGCCGCGGAGAAACTGCGTCCCCTTTTGGAAAAGCTGAGCCAGTTCCACGCCAAGTTCACCCGCGAGTACTCCTGAGCCCTCTGGGGACCAGGCCTGGGTGACAGTGGCCTGGGTTCGAGGTGCCCCGCGACCTGTGGGCTGGGCACGTGCCCCTCTGCCGGCCTCTAATAAAGCTGTGAGAGCCTGACGCTTGGCGTGTGCCCCCCTGTGTGCGCCTTCCCTGCCTCCTGGGGCCTGGTCTGGCGTCCAGAGGAGTGGCTGTGCCCTTCCGCCATCGCAGCGCCACCGCCGGGGGTTTGGCTCTGCACGTGGGGGCTCAGCGACAGGCCTGGTGTCCTGACTGCCTCCCCCCCCCCCTCCCCGGCTGCTGGGGGAGCCGAGGAACAAATGGGTCTCCGCCTGGGTTGTGTTTGAAGCGTGTGGTGAATGTGTGTGGCCTCCGCGTGTACATGCAGCCCGAGGGCCGGGAGGCAGTGGAAGCCCTCCCGAGCCAGAGCCCCCGAGGGTGAAGAGAGCAGGTGCGATGCTGAGGACACGCCGGGGATGGCTGGGCTGGAGGACCCGGGAAGGGGAGGTGGGCAGCCCGGTGTCCTTGCCACTGAACATGCGGATGGTGCCTGCTGTGTGTCGCTGAGGGAGGCATGGTAGTCCCTGTTTTATTTATTCATTTTAAAATATTTTTTATTGATTTTAGAGCGAGGGAAACATTCATGAGGACCATCGATTGGCTGCCTCCTGCACGCCCTCTACTGGCGATAGAGCCTGCAACAGGCAATGCCCTGACCGGGAATCTGGCCATGGGACAACGCTGGCCCGGGCGGCAGTCCCTATTTTAAAGACGAGGGAACTTGGGACCCCAAAATATGCAAGAAATAACAGGAAACCCACTCACGGTGACCCTAGCAGTTGAGGGAGCGCATTGATTCGAGCCTGGCCTAGATCCTAGTCTAGGGTCAGCTTCAAGGACCCACGGGCTCAGAAACCCAAGGCGGTGCTTGCCCACGGGCACGTGTGTGTGTGTGTGTGCAGCTCTGGGCAGGAGAGGCTTCCGCTTGGATGGACGTGTCTCCGCAGGGCCTGCTGGAGTGGGCTGGGCAGGGGAGCTGCTGAAACGCAAGCACAGCCAGGGCCTTGGGCCGGACAGTGTAATTTGAACCAGTTCCTCCATGGGGAGCAGAGGGGGTGCTGGAGAGGCTACGGCCACTGGGGAGATGCCGGGAAACACTTGTGCAGCGTTTGGGTCTAGGTCCCCGAGGTCTGGGGGCGGACCTGACAACCCTGAGAAGGATCAGAATGGGTCGCATTGCCGCTTTCTACTCGGGACGCAGTACCCAGGTGGGCCACCGGGGGCGCCGGCGCACTCGGCCGCTCTGGCCCGCTGGCGCTCTATGGTCCACGGAGTCCCCGGAGCGGAGCACGGCCTGCGGCTCGGACGCCAGTCTAACCCTGACCCTGCCCGGCCCAGTCCAAAGGCAATGCCGCCTGTGACCCTTGACCAGACCAGACACGGAACCGTTTTGCCCGTCCCGCTCCAGGCCCAGCCTTGAACTCGGCCCCAGCCCCGGCCATGCGTGGGAAGCTGCTGCCGCTGGCCGGCCTCTACCTGGTGCAGGGCCTGCCCTATGGGTTGCAGTCTGGCCTGCTACCCGTGCTGCTGCGAGCGGGCGGCCTCTCCCCCTCGCGTGG